TATATACTTATATATATGTTAAGAGACCACTGGATATCAATGTCAGCCTTCACAAATTTTATACTACTATGCTTTGTTGCAACAAAGAGGACGTTCTGAACCATACCTATTTAACATACGCTTTGAAGTAGTGTCTACGACTTATATCATTCATTCCATGGGGTCTGCTTAAAATGAAACACATTCTTGATGAAAAGCTAAACTATACAAAGAAGGGGGTGGTTATACATTCAAATAGTTCTAATCTTTCTGTCTTTACAAATACGTGCCTCATATTTCTCACAAATTTCTCTGTAATCAAGCCCTAATGTCCATAAAATGAGTAATCTTTAAGAGAGTTCTTTTAGTAATACAAAATATTTCTTTTAACAGATGGAAGTGCTTTTATGCTAATCTCTATCAACCTCAAGTCATTATGGAATTAAACACCTTAATACCTTGAACTGTAAGACATATTTAATCAGATTTTTCTTTTTTTAAATGACCCTTTATTTACTAATTGATTCTTGTGGCAAAATCCTCAAGCAAAATCACCTTTAACTGGCCTATCAAAACAAGGGTGATACTTTCAGCAAAAATTAAGAACTTGCAAGTGAAAATACTACCTAACATTTTGATTTTGGCAGGTCTGTACATATGACAGATGAGCTTATGCAAATACAACACTGTAAATAAAACTTCATAAAGTACTTATAATTCCATTTTAAGCTTATTTGTTTTAAGGCCCTCTCAGGTCAGCGTGCAGTTCTTCTGGGTTATAACTTCATTTTGCACCTGTGTAGAGCAAAGCTCAGTGGGATCTTGTCCATAACTCATACTGTTATTCCATTAAACCCAATAAAATTACCACTTACCTGCTAAATATAATGCTTTCACCTGAGGAGGTTGCAGTGCTTCATGAAAGATGATAACCGACCCAAGTTGGCCCTCCAAAGATGTTGGACATCCCCATTCACTGTCCTGAGTCCCTGCTGAGATCATCTTGGTGATGAGCTCTGGTTTTCCAAGCATCCCACCCCAACTTCCCGTAGAGAGAATGCCCCCAAGTGATGTCCGAGGGGGCATAATGGGGGAGGAAAAAGGCGGATCTGGTATCTGAGATGGAGGAGGAGTTGTTGTTCTTTGACCAGCTGAACCAATGCAGCAAGAAGTAAAAGACTGGAGAGTCATACATGGAAGAAAACAAAACATTCTGTAAATCCAACCTCCTTCTTTTCACAGTTTACAAAATATATCTGAAGACTATCTTTAGCAAGCCTCAAGTAAATAAACTAAGAGCAACAAGTTCTGGCAAGCCCTGGAAAAGAAGCAATCCAGCAGAGTAGGACAAAAAAAGAGTATATGCTTGGCACAATAGCAGAGAGTGCCTTTTCTCCAATTAAGAGCAATTTGGTCACCTCAATTGATGTGTAACCTCTGGCCAACCCCTGGTGGCAACAAAGCCAAGAATTATGGTGCTCCATATACCCTGGTAAACGCTCCTCTTCTGGATTATATTCCAAAATACTAGTCCAGCATATCTACTACTTCTATTTCTCCTATCCGCTATTCCACTCAAATAGATGCTCTCATGAGCAGCTTACTTGCCCTGCTTTTAGCTGCTTTGTTTATAGTGCTTATTCTACAGATGAGCCATAATCTGGAGTTTTATCCTGCAATGGAAATTACATTTACTCTCATTTTTAAGCATTTAAATGGACTGTGGCCAGTTTAAGTGTTTGATCAACATATTTAACAAATAAAAAATCAGGACTTTGAAAAGAGGGAAGAACGCTCAGTGCTGTAGCCCAGTTTAAAATGGATTTGTTGGAATGGACAAAACTTACAAAGTAAACTAAACATGACATATACTTATTTGATGGCTAGTGTGAGTATTTTAGGCTAAATGTGTACACATTCAAAACAGCTAGATTAACTCTATGTAAACTGTTTATCCAGCTAACATAGCAGATGAGAGATTAGCATATTATGGGAACATCCAGAAAATACAAGTAAAAGAAGTTACTACTGAAAACAACAGGTAATATTCCTCATTGAGGACTGTCACATCAATCCTACTAGCAGAGCTGTGATTTATTATTATTTACTGAAATTATGTCAGTATGATCAGATGATTATTTTCAGGAAAACCTCACAATCTTATCAAGGTAATCTGGTTGGGGTTTTCGTTTTGTTTTTAAACTGAGATGACTAAACAAGCATTAATTAATTAATGGTTACATTCCAAATTGATACTCTGGACACTGTCCAAAGTTGAACAGAAGCTTATCAGCAGTAGGCTAAGCTATCTTAAACTCCTATACAATTTCCAAATTAAAAAAGGCAACTCTGTTCTCATCGTTCTATGAGAGCACAGCACAACAGGGGTATGATTCAGAAGGTGAACTTACTTCATTCATGGCAGGGAATCGAAGTGGGGCAGAGACCTTCTGCTGTCCATTGACATAGATGTACACAAGGCTCTGACCAAAGGGCCTCTTTCCAGGCATGTGAACAATAGTTATGTTGTGCTAGTTAAGCATATAAAATAACTGGGTCATTATTGAAAAGCAGTGAAATGACAGTACATAAATATTTAACTTCACCTCTACTAATCTGGTGAGGAAACCACTTAAAATAAATCCTAAACAACAATAAGAGGATAAGCTGTTTTAAACATGATAATGCACATCATGATAATGCACATCAGTCCTTAAGTACGTGTATAGCAAAAGGTAAGGCAGAAACACAGCAGCACACTTAATTCATTCACATAGCACCACAGCCACCTATGCTTGTTATAATTTAATATACAAAAATCTGCATGTTTAAAAAAAAAATCTCAAATATAAGCTGGTTACAGCATTGTGCAGTAACAAATGCCTAATAACACAGGCATAATTTAGCTCAGTCAACCACTAATCTACACAGGAATTGCTTGCATTATTTGAGATCAGACCAGTTCTTATGTCATGAATTATTTAAATATAATATAATAAACCATTTGTAAAACAACCAAAAAACTGAAATTTGACTCCTGAGCTAACAGTACTATCCTAATCAAAGTGTTTTTCAGCATCAGATCTTACCCAGAGAGAGTCAAAAAAACAATGGTCAGGCAGCATCACTGTTGCATATTCCCTCTTCGTGCAAACTGCAACCACCAATACCCCAGAGTATGTAATAAATGCTTCAAAACCCATACCACTTCCTGTAAAAAAGCTACAGAAAAAGACAACAAAACACACAATCAAGGACTTACTTCATCATAACTACTGGAAATCACTTAACAGTACATTCACTGAGGAGAGAACCAACTTATCCACTTGTCGCTGGTCCAACGTTAACTATTTGAAATGTGCCCTTTTTATTGTGCTCTCATGGAAAATCACTTTTATAGGAAACAGTGGAAAGGTTGTTCTGAGGTGGTTTTTTATCTTGGTTTGTTTAAGCTATGAACTTTAACAAAACTTGCTTCTGTAACATACCCTAGCCCTGCTGACAGGTGAATCTGCTCCCTTTCACAAACTAAGCACTATATATTGCATTCCGTGAAGATAAGCGGAAGTACCCCATGTCATAGGGGTACCATGTGCACAGGAAACAGATAACGTAGACTTGTGCTGTTGAATTAGTTACAGTAAGTATACCTATATAGTTGCTTCCTCTTGCCACTTTTGCTAGTTGTGCTAGGGTCCACCCGGTCCTGGTCAAGGCAGAGCCAGGCGTTGAAAGAAAATGCAGAGCCTGGCCACTTATGAATTGATGGAACTGCAATTCCAGCCATGCTGTGGTACAAGTTGAAATACTGCAAAGCACTAGCCATGCCCTGCTTCCTGGCCATGGCCAGCATGGCTCGCATCACTGGAACAACATAAGGGTGAGCTCGTTTTGGTTCCTCAGTCCTCAGGAGCCGTATTAGTTGAAGCAGTTCTTCTGAGCCCATTGACTGGCTCCCCAAAGAGCCCAGAAGGGCAATCAGGTTCTCTGCACAAGTACAGTGCAGCGCAGAGTGGGACTTCAGTGTCTCAATGATACGGATGACCATGTTCGCATTGACACACGTGGCACGACTCTGTCTGTTGATACAACAGATTCGCCTCAACCAATTTGAGATGAAAATCTGCAGGTCATGTGATTCTAATTCTGGAAGCCACTGGATAAGCAGCAGTAAGGGCTGGACATTACTTATGCCTAGTATCCCAACAGCCATGTGGTCACCTTCAACAGCCTGAAAAACAGCAGATGTGAAATACAATAAAATAGGGCTAGAAGCACTGTTGAAAAGATGCAAGCATTTTAGTATTCAAAATGCACATCTCACCATATTCATGAGTTCTTCCAGCAACTCCCGTGAGGGCTGACCCAGCGATTTCAGCACTTCATATATGTGTGCATAACCAATCCTCTCCTTGAAGACCTCCTGAGGATAAAAATCCTAGTCTCACTAACAAATAAGATGGACAAAAATTGCTCATTTACTGCAGCAGGTTCTAATTTAACACAATATTAGACACAAAATAATTAGAATGCAAGAATAATGTTTTGCAGGCTAGAAATCTTTTTGCTGTGTCTAATGTGTATTCTCTAGCATGCTGCAGATGAGAAGCATTTCACTGCAGCATGCAGATAAACTAAAGATTAAAAGTTATATTTTTATCATTACCTATATAAGAATAATTGATTTGATATAATAAAAATGTTAATTCTGTCACAAAATACTAATAGCTTCATTTTTAAATGCAAACTATAGCATGAAATGAAGTGATTACATTGAGAATTAAAGTATTCAAATATTAATTTCTGAGTGAAAGACTTTCCTAGACTAGCTTGATGAAAAACCACCCATTCTGAACACTTCAAAAATCAGAAGAGTGTTCCAGGGAAGCTTTTCTGAAAACTAATTGATTTTACATGAGGGAAAAACAAAATATCAAGATGCAAAATCCAAACTGTAGCATCCACACATGGTTTAGTTAGGTACAGAATGGATACTCTTCTCCTGCTTGTATTCTAAATTGAAATTAAGACTTTTATTTTATTTTTTTTTAAGGATGAATCTGTCAGAAGTGAGGTGGTTTCTTACGTAAATGTGGAAAGAAAAAATATGTATGTTGCAGTGGAAGTACAACTGAAAACTTTACTGACCCTTTGTGAATCACAGCCAGTACCCACATACAACTCTTCCCAGGCTTTCCAGAGTCAGTGGAGAAACAAGCACTCTGAGTAATGCTCTGGAGGAATGTAACTCTCACTCTGACTGTATTGCAAATAGCAACCAAAGCAGATGACTGCCACTCTTCCTTTAGCCTCCACTGTGCAGCCACATCCCTTTCCCTATGCCAAGACTAGAGAATCATTCAACCACAGTGTGAATCTAATGAGCTCAGCAATCTAAGAATAAATACACTGGTTTTCTGTGGGCTTACCTTCCAGTCAGATTCACAAACCAACCACAGCCTATCCATGTATCAAATCACAAGAATAACTACAAAGGAAGTTGCCCAGAGAGGCTGCTGAGTCTCTTTTTTGGAGATATTCAAGAGCCTCCTGGACACAATCAGGAGCAGAGTGCTCTAGGTGACCCTGCTGAGCAGGGATGTTTGACCCTGAAGATATTTGATGTTTGACCATGAAGAGACCCCCAGTGATCTCTTCCCACCTCAACCATTCTGTGATCCTGTGAAGGTCAGGGGAACAGCAAGACCACCATTTGGACAGCAGTACTATCCTGGATTACTTTAAAGCCATAATAAAACTACAATACAGACTCCTACCTGAAAATTCCTGCAAATATCTATGAATTCTACCCCAAATATTCATGGGGCAAGTAATGATGTACTTCCTTTACAAAGGTTCCAACTGCTATTAATACTCCAATCTTCAAGTTTTTATAGAAAGACGGGTCATTGTCCACCTATTAGACACATATAAATGGATAAGGGATGCTAATCAGATATTCCTATCTGGCAGCAA